ACACACACACACACACACACACACACACACACACACACACACATATATATTACAATGTTGGACAAGTTAACAGATGTGGTTTATATCTGTGATTTTTATTTTTATTTTTAATTTTGATTGGTTTAATTGTTGTTGGTTATTGGTTTAATCATATTTTAAGCAGTACTGAACAATAACAATATTGCTATCGTAATGCAAAATAATACTGCCTTAATTTCACTACCATTACTGACTTTCATTCAAAAGACCACAAGGAGTCAAATCTTTAGTATGATTCAGTGTATTATGGTTTTTTGATAGCTTGCAGTTACCGTGGAGTTTTGTGGTCGAACAGCATGATCTGCTGATGAGATTCGGATCTAGAGTTCTGATAAAGTATCAGTTTGTAGCAGCTGTGGTCATGAGTCAACACAGGTGTCTGTTTAATATGACAGCTTGTGTTGGAGACTCATCTCATTTCACTCTATAAATGAATGCGTTTGGATGTTCGCCAGTCTTTTGCTGTTTGGGAAACTCATTAGTCATGATTCAAAGCAAGTATTGCATGAAATAAGAATGGAAAATTAAATTTAAAAAAGCTTGATGCTGGCTTGTCTGCATTTAGTCTGGATTTCCAATATGTTTTTTAGTTATAGTTCTCATATGCCTTCATGTTTAATTGAATTTGAGAATGTTTAAAAATAATAAGTCATACTATTTTGTAGAATTATATGAATTATATTGCATTATATAATCAGTGTTATATACTAATGAGTGACTTCTATTTTGGAAAGGTGATTTTTAAAGTGAATTTTTGTGAGGAATTTTTCCTTTCTCTCGGAATATAAAGAATGTAGCAGTTTTGCTCATTTCAAACCTGTCTTCTCAAAACTCAAGTGAGGTCCCTTCCTGTTCTTTATGTTATTTAAAGTAATTATTATTTTGATTATGACAATTATGTTTGATTATTGAAATAATTGCTAGGATGGGGAAAATCAGATAAAGATCCAGTTTTAATTAAAACTTGTATGTTAATATAGTGTGAATGATATACTGAATGACTTTATCATGGCAATCTAACAAAAATATTATTTGAAGATGATACATTTTTATGAATATTTAAAATTTTTTACATGCTCATATATGATACACATCATACATATCATACATGTTCATACATTGTCATTTACATGCCCATGAAAAAAATATTTAAACAGAAAATAATTTTTAAAAATTATGGCAGTTTTGGTGTAAAAAAATCTAATAATTTTTAAAAATTATTTTCTGTTTAAATATTTTTTTTTCATGAGCATGTAAATGACAATGTATGAACTTTATATGAGCATGTAAAAATGTAAAACATTCATAAAAATGTATCATCTTCAAATAATATTTTTATTAGATTGTTTATAATTATTTTTAAATAAATCATCAAATGTTGTGAATGCAGATGATACCTCAGTATGAATATTAGTAATAAAACTAGTTTAAATTTTAAATATGCTTCTTTAATATAAAATATGCCTTTATTTCTGTCTAGTTTCTCTGCTTGAAGAACATCAGGACATTTTTGCATGCCTGCTCAGAGATATTCGGCATGAAGAAGAGCGAGCTGTTTGAGGCTTTCGATTTGTTTGACGTTCGAGATTTCGGAAAGGTAAGAAAAGATTTCACTTTCAACTCTCTTATTTGAAATGCTTTCTTTTTGAATTCATCCCATAATCCACTGACATACAGTATTCACTTGTTCGGTTTGCAAGCATCATCTAACTGGTGTAATTTGAATTGTTCTTGTGCCACAGTCATCCGTCAGAGTTTATGGTGTGTCAGTCACAGATATGGTAGTGTGTTGAGTTTCCTGACATTAGCCTGTGAGCTGGCTGTGTTATTTGTGGTGTTGTGTCTCAGTTGATTATGTTCAGAGATGCTGAGCTCTTTGTTGGCTATCTGCTTTAATAAAGTCTCAGTGTCTGGGTCTTATCCTGCTGGTAATTTAATTTGATCAGTGGAGGAGGGGCAGCGCAGGAGAAGTGGCCGCCCTCAAATTAGTTACTGATTGTATGCGGTCATATGTGTGTTTAGAAAGTGAAACCGTGTCTGTTTTTAACTTGGAATTGTGTATTAGTGAGCATATTGACCCAGGCAGATGTTTTGCCCCAGGCCTGGTGCTGCACTGATCAATACAGTCAAGAGCCCCTAAACCCCAACGGGTGTCCTAATGCAAAATGAGTTCTGAGTGTTGTGTGATGCCGTGAGAGATTGTGTAATATTCCTCCCTAGGGAGGCAAACAAATAAACAGCAAGCCATCAGTTTTACTGTAGCAGGTTTTGATGTGGCTCTTGTAAAAGAAAATGGAAAAAGACAGAATTATCCTATATTTAATATTATCTCATATTTTATAACTGTGCACAAAAACATTATTATAATAGTATTATAATATATTTGTATTTAGGGATTTTTGGGAAATTTGTGCATATATGTACCAATTAGAACTAAATTAGCACTATATATAATAACATATATATATATATATATATATATATTTATATATATAACAACAGTCAAGTACATATATAGAGTATATACGTAATTTTTTTAATTATATTGTATTTTATATTAATTTAACAAACTATTACATAATGTATAATTAATTATTTACATAATGTAAACTTTTTACATATTTACATATTATATTTTTACATATGAAGAGTTTAGATGCAAAAGTGAATGAGCATTTTTATCAGGCTCCTATATTTATGTTCAGTTATTTCACTTTAATTGCATAGAAAAGGACCTATACATTGTCATTAGATGAAAATTACTGAACCTAAATATAGCAGCCTGATAAAAAATACTAATTTTAGACGAAAATTTCAGATGGCACTTCATATACTTGTATATGTTCAATTTAATTCATGCTTGCTGCACCATAAAATGCCACTCCTGCTGTGTCCGGACTCAGTGCAGACTGCTAATGCAGCGACAAAATCGACCATTTGAGTGAACTGTTACACATTTTAGGTGTTATCCTAGTATGCTTTAAAAATAGATGTGGCTTCATTGTGAAACTAAACGTGCTTCCTATAAGCTTTTTGCAAAGCTGAAGTTAGCACTAATGTGTATTTTGGCAAAGAAATGTTGTGTCTTTTTTGTGCATTGAAAGGGCTCATGTGCCCTTGACCCTTCTCTTATATAAAGTGCAGAGTTTAGTCGGTTTGACACTATAGTTCACTGTCAGACATGTATTAGAGCTCATGTCATGTGATTTGTCCACAGATGCCTGCTGTACATGCATCTGTTGATTCTCTTATCTCAAACAGTCTCTGTGTATGTATTTATAAGCACAGAAGGGAGAAAGTCTTCATACACACATTTAGACACGGAGATACACTCAGTCCTCTGTAGAACGCGCAGAGAAGACATCACCAATTTTTTCCACACGACTGGCAAAACATCTGTTTCATTCATCTGACACTCGCTACGGGCAACTCTGCCAACACTTGTTTTATCACAATGTTCTGGAAGGAATTTTAAAGTTTGAAATAAAGTAACAGATATAGTATGTCACAAAATTAATTTCTAATTTTTTTAAAGGTTAAAAAATACATACATTTATTAGTTAATTGAACTGAATGAAAATGGATTTTTTTTCATGAAATGTATTTGTAAATGTATAAATGTAATTAAATTCATTAAAATACACACTGTATGAAATAAAATAAATATATATTTAAAATAGGCTTTTTTTTGTGTTTAGTGCATTTTAAATATTGTGGATGCAAATGGTACTGTCTATATGTTATATGTTATACTGGTCTATATGTTTACAGCCACAGTGGCAGCTTAACTAAATGAATCCATTCATAGACCTCCACCTTTCTTATTCATCCATCTAATCAATCGCTTCCTGTCTCATCCATTTATCTGATGCTTCTTATCCTCCAATCAGAGCAGAAACTTAATAACTCTTTGCTGAATGGTTAATTAGGATGTATTATTTCACTTATATGAAATGGATGTGTTATAAGTTAAGTACTATTTAGCAAGTACCTTTCATGGAAAGTCCCCCTGGAGCATCATTTTATTTTTTTTTACATTATGTGTGTATATATATATATATATATATATATTCAGTTTTTCCTTTTAATTTTAGTTTAACTTTTAATACATTTAAATTTCATGTTTTTGTATTTTTTATATTGTCCTTTTTTTAATTACTATTTAGGTTTACTTTATTTTTATTTCAGTTTTAGTTTTAGCTTCAGATTTATTTTTTATTGATTTCTAGTTAGCAATTTTAGTGCTTCAGCTTAAACTTATTTTAATTAGTTGCTAATGTGACATTTATAAAGTTTAAGTTTTTCATCAAATATTTATGTTTTAAATATTTCAGCTTTATTTCAGTTAATGTGACTTTAAACAATTATTTGCAGTTTTAGTTAACAATAATAACCCTGCAATGCAAACCATGTTGACTACAACTATTTAGCTGCTACCCCTAATTTAGCTCAGAAATGTTAGAAAGTTAGGATTTGTTTCATGAATGAAATAATTTGGACTCTATTAGATTTTTAGGCACTTACATTTGATGTCATAACTGAGAATTTGCTTACATCATTACACTAACATCATGCCATATCCCATGATGTTATTGATGCATCAGTCATGTGATCCCATCATCAGCACTTATGTTCTATTCTTAGCCACAAGCTGCTGACAAACCAATGGAAATAAGTTCAAATGTGACATATTAGGTATTTGCTTCTGCATTTTAGTGCACAGGCTGACTTGGCATGTTAGACCCATTGAATACAGATGGGTGAAGTTCTCCTAAATTTCAGTTAGTTCAGGAAACTTGAGAAACAGGAAACAGAATTTCCTAAGGAATTGTGTCGAAACAGTCACCAGGTCATCTCATGGCTTCTTATAAATGTTGTTGCTTATAAACTGACACTGTTACTGAGGTGAAGATGGATCATATAGCACCATAAATGATCAGATCTGTGAGTTTTTACAAATGTCAAGTGCCCGTGGGCTTTGAAGGAGATAGAGGAAGATCAGAAGACCAGAAAATCACTCAGAGAGAGTGCAGAAAGAGACAAAGCGCAGAGCATCTGTCCTGCTATTGGATTTCCATGGTTAAATATATCACTGCCACTAAGGAGAAAGATCAATATCAATAGATCAAAATCAATAGCTGCGCTCACATTGCCAGCTTGTCTCTCTCTTATTTGTCTCTGTCTTTATTACTTTTTATTATTATATGGACACTGAATGCACAATTAAGCCTATATATACAAGCATACAAACGTGTGTGGGATGAAGTGCCCTTCAAGGCTCTTGTTTATGAGCGTATGTGGCGTTTATCGAGCATCGAGTGACAAGGTTTTTAATTTTGGATTTCAGGGCGAATATTTTATTCAGTACTAATGAGTGTCAAAAAATAGTTCTGTCTAATTGAAATTGACTAATTCAGTTTGTGCTTATCAGAGTATCATGATAGCTTAGCAACATATGCTAACATCAGACTGTATTGGAAACAAGTGCAGGTGTTAGCAGGTGTTAGACAGCCCATGTAATCTCACCACAGGATGTAAGATGTGTTACGCTGAATGATGGTACCCAGGAAGCAGTTCAGGCCTGAGGGGTATAATGTCGGGATGTGTCAGAGCTCTTTGAGAGGAACAGCATCTGACATCTGCTGTTAGTAAAGAGTATGCAGTGATGTGAAGTGCTGGGCTCTCCGAATGAGAACACACCACACACACAGACACTATATGAGGAGGTGTGTGTCAAGTGCTCTGATTCTCCTCGATAATCTTTAGAAAGATACGCATTGACGATCTCCACACTCTAGCTAAACTATGCCAAGGAGAGCCAATTCTAGCAGCACAGATTCTGTTGTATTGGGAGCCCATAGGGAATACATGAAAGTGCAACCGAATTCAGAAATATGTGGAAACAAAAATCAAAAGTGCAAACACATACACACACACACACACACACACACACACACACACACGTGTGTTTGCACTTTTAATATACAAATCTATGTACATATCTACTGCATACATAAAAAAAAACTAATTGCAAAACATTTTTTTAATTTAATTAATTAATTAATTAATTAATTAAATTATTTAAAGTTTATTACTTAGGCTTAGAGTATTCAAAAAAGAAAAAAGAAGAAAAAAGCTTTTTAAAAAAACAGGAAACTGATGTCACTGCTTGATAATTCATATCAACTGCCCATGTGTTTCTAAGTGTATTTGTTGTAAGTAGCAAATATTGTGCACATTCCTATAAATGCATATATGCATGTATATATTTATATATGTACCAGTGTGCATATTTATGTGTGCAGAAGATTTAAATGACATGAGTCCACAAATACATGCGGTGGTTTCTTTCATCTGGCCTCTGGCAGAAGCTGATCTCCTGGTTGTGTGGCTGTCTCTCTGTCTGTCTGTGTCTCTGTCTGCTTGGCTGTCTCACCCCAGTCACAGAGTCACATGCCCTCGAGCAGAGAGCTGTAAACTGCTGGAAAGCATTCGCACTTCCTCTTTCCTGACTCGTCAACCTCTTATTACATGGCGTTCCCTGAAGGTTGAGTTGCGAGCTTACTCATGCTTCCTGTGGTGGACTCCTGGGGCCCC